CATGCATCAGTTTATATTTTCAAAAGTGGTAAGGGTTTTTTATTCTCTACATCTCCAATGCTTAAAATTAATTGTCTTATTGATAATATCTATTCTAACATATGTAAGGTAGTATCTCATTGTCATTTTGATTTGCATCTTTCGGATGATTAGTGACTTTGAGCATGTTTTCATATGTCTCTTGGCCTTCTGTATGTCCTCCTTCAAAGTATCTGTTTAGGTCCTTTGCCCATTTTTTGATTGGGATGTTTATCTTCCTTTTTTTAAGTTGTATGAGTTCCCTGTAAATGTTGGAGATTAAACCCTTATCAGTGATAATATTGGCAAATATGTTCTCCCATGCAGTGGGCTCTTGTTTTGTTGATGGTTTCTTTTGCTGTGCAGAAGCCTTTTATTTTGATGTAGTCCCATTTGTTTATTTTCTCTTTAGTTTCCATTGCCTTAGGAGCTGTATCGTTAAATATATTGCTACAACAAATGTCTGCTATTTTGCTGCCTGTGGCTTCTTCTAAGATTTTTATGGTTTCCCCTCTTACGTTTAAGTCCCTTATCCCAAATGAGTAGTTCTTAAAGGTTCCAGGTGCAGCACTGGGCTCCACCTGTCAGAGGATCTGAGAGGTGACCAGTGTGGTGGGTGCACAGTAAGTGAAGGCAGAGTCGTGTATAATGGACTTGGAGAGCCTGGCAGGGATCATGGTAAAACGTCTGGATTTTATTCTAGTTCTAGTGAAAAGCTGTTGGAGTGTTTTAAGCAGGAGAGTGATAAATTCTGATTTATGCCTTATAAAAAGATCACTTTGGCTGCTGTGTAGAGAACTGGATATTGGGGGAAGGATGGCAAGAATAGAATAAAGGAAATTGGTTGGCAGCTGTCGCCCTATTCCACTCAAAGAATGGTCCGGAAGCCCTTGGGTTGTGGGATTAGCAGTGGAGGTGGTGAGAAGTAGGAGTCTTCAGAATATGTTTTGGAAGTAGAGCTGATACGACTTCCTGGAGGACTGGGGGTGAGGGAAACCAGGCCTGCAGGATGAATCCTAGATCTCTCACTGGAGCAACGCCCTGGAAAGTCAGCTGCCTTGCCCCAAATTCTCTGACTTTTGGAGTGGATTTGTTTGGTTATAAATCGT